AAAATAATAATGAGATTTTATAATAACTATTGGAATACTAAAATTTAACTAGAATTGTAATGCAATTTTATTGACCTATAGACTAAAGTCTGTGTAACTTTATATTTTAAAGATCGCTTGCCACCAAGCTGTGGTTAACAAATCGATAAAATCAGGTGTGCTCACGAATTAAATTGACCAATTACACTTTTACTCTGTTAACGAACTCGTTACTTGAACTCGTGAATAACCCCATCTCTTGTATATAAATAATTAGTTATCACATTTTGATTCGAATTTAACTGCAAGTTCACAAAAATATAATATTTTTTCCCACATAACACTTGCTTTCGTCTTACAATGTACTTAATACACAAAACTGCTGTATGAGTTTTCATTTATAAAATTATATACATATAGTCAAAATTTATAAAAATACAAAATCCGATTAATATTGCAATGCTTAATAAATAAAAAATATTAGCCCTTTACCTGAACCACAAAACACATAAAGCATTTTATTTTGCTCTGCAGGCTTGCGTTTTATATGCTTTTCAAAAATAAATTGCAGACATAGCGTTTTATTCTTGACTGGAAAAAATAATTTCTTTCAAGATTTTTGTTTTTCACATAATAATTATTTTTGTATTTAAACAAAAAAAGGAAGAAGATTATGCGAGTAACTTGTGCCTAGTAAAGAAAAAAGTAAATGATAATAGTTATTTTTGAAACATTAGAAATAAGGAAAATTGAATTATTATTTTTGATTTAATTTTGAAAGGCGAAATATACATTTTTTAGTTGATTTTATTTTTCAATAATAGGTCTTAAGGTCCCTGAGCTAATGTCTGGTTCATCGCACTGCTACTGTGTTCCGTGTAAATTCATCAGATCTTTGCTTACCGGAACACAGCAATAATATATATATGTATATATATACATTAAGCATAAATAAACAAATAAGATAAATAAGATAATTTGTAGTATTAGTATTTAATACTCGTTTCAAAAAATGGCAAAAAAAAATATTTATCTATATCAAGGCTGTTCACAGCAGATGCAATCGCGGGCCAATACAAATCACTTTACAGATTGGAAGGCCGCAGAAACAAATACATACGTTCATAATTGTCAAAAATAGAAATACGTTTGTAAAATTAAATTTAATTTTATTAATTTATCAAATTCATTTATTTAGAATACTATAAGAAAATTTACTAAACTGTGGTAAATTAAAAACAGGTCGCGGGCCACACTAACATTAACCGGGGGCGGTATTTTGGACAGCCCTGATCTATATTACCTATACACCTATATCTATATACATTAAATTATTTCTATTATTACTACTACTTTTAAACATGTAATAGTTTTTTTAGTGCTTGTTAAATAATAGTGCTTGCTAAATGAAAGTGCTTGTTAAAAGAAAGTGCTTGTTAAAAGAAAGTGCTTGTATGTAACAGCAAATTGGTTAATTAAAGCAGCATTTGTAAGATCAACTATATGAAAGAACGAAGTTAGATTGTTAAAAGTTGTTCAAATTAATATAAGATTTAAGAGTTAAAATCAAGTGGTTGACCCGTTTCTACATTCGTCTCCGCTTGTAACCTACTAACCGCTTAGAGTTATGTTATTATTGTGTTTAATTTAATTTAAAAAATTTGGTGACGAAGCTTTCTATGCGTCCTCATATTGGTTAAAGCAGTGTTACTCAGTAGTAAATAAAAAATGTGACAAAGGAGTCGTATAATTCGGAAATTGAGAATTGTGGTACCAATCTCTGTATAACATGCCTTTTGGTCAATTTAATATGCACAATATTTCAAATAATTTTTAAAGGCAGTTAATTGATTTTATACATCTATTAGAAATCGTTTCGTTTTTAGCCATTACTTTTCTTACTAGCCAAGTATATGAACTATTTTTATCTATTTGTAAGTTCTCTATACTAGATGCATATTTTCAATGGAGTTGTTTTTCCATCCATTATGTTTTTTTGTTCTTTTACGTAAATATAAGGGTTATGTTTTGATTGCGGAGATTATTCGGTCGTATGCAATTTTTTATCGGCTAGTACTGTTGCTATTAGAGAGTCTTTTTAAATAAGACTGCCGGTTTTTTGCTTGACTACTGTCTAGATTGTGAATATTTATTAGATAACTTCCCGCATATCATTTGATGTCTCCCCGCATATTTGACGTATGCCATTTTTTTTAAAACTTATTTGCATATTTGGCAATGAAATTTCCGGAAATGAGTTGAGTGAACCACTCTCGGTTCCTGCGTTTACTCACAATTCCCTTATCGTAAACGAAACAAATATTTCTGACATATTTTTATAGCAGTTTTACCTTTTTTATGATAAAAGAGTATTACATATTTCGTTAAATATTTCACTTATTTTCAATTATTATCTCTTAACGTAACCAATAGCTTATAACATATATCATCTTTCAAAAATATGTTCATTTGACAGAATTGAATAAATATATATGGGTATCAACAATATCTAGTAACAAAAAGTGAAGAATACTTTCATATAACTCAATATACACAACAGTATCAAAAAGAATAGAGTTCAGGAGAGTTGTGGAGTCCTTATCTTCTAATGTACGAGTAAATGGTAAATGGTTAATGGTTAAGCAAAGTTTGAACATAGAACAGATATTATGCAGGTTCTAGAAAAGTTTAAAATCTTGCTGCCGGTAATACATGAATTATGTTTAAAATATACAAATTAAGTGCAATCACTTAATCATTTCTAGAGCCCGATTTTTAAAATTCATAGCTGATATGATAAGTTTATATATTTTCGAACACCTCTATTGTGCATAATAGAGAATTAATCTCTAAAAGCATTGCAGATTAAAATGATTTATCCTCAAGAATACATCGTATATTATTATTAGTAAGCATTTTTCATATAAGTTGCGCATGAGAAGGTATATAATGAAATGCAATTCATTACCAAGGTTATTTATCTTACCCTCTTAATTTATCAAAATATGCACTTTTATTTAAATATAGTCATAAAAACTTTATGTACGTAAAAATTTCATTTACTGCTGCAACGAATTTCTGCACAAAACTCACAATCTTTTCCATTTTATAATAATAAAATATTTTTTAACAATGGAGTACGCGTTTCTATGCCATTACGGAGCACGTGAATGCAGCAGGAAATATTTTTGTAATTTTACGTTTTTCTACTTCTACATACAATAATAGTACATACAAATTTATGTGTTCTTTCGCAGTTGTGTACGTGTTGGCCTTTTTGTATATATGTATGTGTGTTCATACAAGTTGTAACATGTAGTCGAGTTTCGAGTTTTAACCACGGCTTCAAATGGCGAGGCTCCTTAGGATGTCCTGAGCGTTAAAGTACATAAAATACGGTCCTCTCTCTATTATAAAATAGTACTCCGAGCACACTACTGGGAGGAAATAGATCTATTGCCGCATATGATCCTATCCCCTTTACTTCCGGTACATAAACTACGGCCCTCTTTCTATTATAAAATATTAGTGTGGGCACAATTTTGGGAGGAAACAGATCTATTGCCGCATATGATCCCACCCCCTTTACTGCCGGTACATAAACTACGGCCTTCTCTCTATTATAAAATAGTACTCCGAGCACACTACTGGGAGGAAATAGATCTATTGCCGCATATGATCCTACCCCCTTTACTGCCGGTACATAAAATACGGTCCTCTTTCTATTATAAAATATTACTGTGGGCACAATTTTGGGAAGAAATAGATCCATATTGACCCAAAATATTGTTTTTTATTGTAGACAAGTGTTTCAAACTGATTTTATAATTCGTTTTAAAATGCCGACAGACTTTGTATTCAAAAATTTTTACAAAATTTCTTCCTACATATAAGTTTACTATATACTTCATACTAAATATATACAAAGTACATACCATATACTTTGTTATTGTTGTTATTGTTGTTGATGTTGCTAATGTTGATGACGTTTATGTTGCTTATAGCAAAAATTTTGCATTCTTGTACACATTAGTATGAAACGTTGCATATTTTTTCGTTGCATTTAAACATGAACAAGCAAAGAAATTCCTTTTAACAATGTAGCAAAAATTCTCTGTAACTCTTCACGTTGATGTTCCTTCACAAAAATCCTTATTTATATTTTCGTTCCCAGTGCAGGTCTGGCTTAGTGTTGTTATTGCTGCTGCTAATAATGGTGCAATTTAAAAGTAAGCCATGAGCATATTTTTCAAATTGCCTGAACATATTACAACTGTGAACGCAGACGTGCATAGGCATATGATTCGGATTCAGAAGTTCAGATTTTGATAGATTTTATGAACTAAATGAACCCAAAAGTTTTTATTTGAAATTTAATTAAATTTTTTAAACGAAGTTTTATGTTAATAAAAAAAACTTTTCAAATTCATATTTGCAATTGTATGTGCGTAAAAAAATACGTTAACATATCCTTAGAATTTTGTAAAGTTACTCCAAAATGTTTACGATATAAGCATTTATAATCATTTCATGTTATTTTCTCATTACATTATTACTAAATATTCACTTACACGAGTATGTAGCCTTACTCTGACTACCCTTAAGAAAGTTATAGTCGAACACAGACTAGCTTCCCATTGAACTTCTTCATTATAGCTGCAGGTAGTTCGTTACTTCTATTCATTTCAATAAGTTCGTATAAAAACTTACGATATGAGTGAGTGTATAATTTTAAGTTGATTAATTATGATAATATTCTAAATTAATTACGACAAGAAATTGAACCATATTATATTCGTATTTTTTTCTTTTAGTGTTGCGAAAAAACAGCATTAAGTCTGGTTCAAACAAAGCCTGGCAGCACTTTCGAAATATATTATACCATGTTTCTACTGCTTACTTAAGGTGTATTCTTTTGACATGAATGATCCATTAGAACATTAGAAAAATTATCAACCAAAGCAAAAACAAACATCGCAATAACAATAAATGCTTTAAAAATTCAAATATTAAGTTGAAAATTTCAATAGCTTTATTGATCAGGTTGTAGGAATTTACCAATATGTTTTTATTATTTTATATTCTAATATAAAACTGTTTTGTTTAAGCATTGAAATCTCACGTACCAACCCTTAACAATTTTCGAACAAGAACTTTTTTCAAATTTCTAAGGTTTAGCTTCACCTTGATTCTCATTCTCTTTGTTTTGCTCCCCCTCAGTCACATTTTCTATAATATTGTCTGTTGTTTCTTGTGGATTTTCACTTACACTCTTTTTAACCTCTTCCTTTATGGATGAATTTCTATCTTTAGAAAGTGACCCTCCGGTATCTCGTTTTTCTGATGATTTAGGATCTTTTTCACCATTTTTTTCTTTAGATTTTTTACTACCTTTTTTTGTTTTGCCTGCAGGTTTTGTTGATGCATCCTCAGACTCTTCAACTTCTTTTGCAAATTGGTCATCTCTTTTAAGAAACTTTGTTTCCTCGTCTGCAAAAAAGACAAAATAACGACAGATAATCTAGACCTTATTTATAAATTCAACTTTACCTAATTTTTCTTCGGACGTTTTAGGTTTTAGTTTCGCATAAAACTCAATTATTTTTTCAACGTCTTCTTCTTCAGTTTTTTTTGATTCTAAATAACATCTACATGCCTCATCTGTATCATCTTTTTTCTTTGTACAGTCTTCTCTGCAGTCGTCATGTGACCGAATCTCACAAAGTGGAGAAGGTAACATTAAAGGCACAGCATGTCTTATACAAATACCTGCTAATTCTCCGTCGAGCTGGAGTAAGAGATCTTGAACTTTATTTACTATGTTGTGAAACTGAAACATATCCCAGTCTAATGGTATCTCTTCAACATCAATTTGTACTGGTTCAGGAAGCTTGCATAGTTCTTTGATAGTTGGTGGAGGTGGTTTTACTGGTGGCAATTCTTCTGATGGTTTTTTTTCTGCACTAATAGAAGGTCTTGGCGATTCTGATTCTTTTGGTGGCTCATTTTCTCCATCAGTGGGGTCTACTTCAGTTTTATTTTCTAAATCGCCTACTTCTTGCTGATTATTTTCTTCTGAAACGGCCTCCTGATTTTGTACTACTCCAGCAACTTCTGTTGCTGGTTGTTGTTCTTCCAAATTTTGTTCCGTGTTTTTTTCTGGATTTTCAGTATCCATAATTCACTTGAAAAATTTAGAAGAATGGGCCAAGTATTGTTTCAAAAGATTTCAGCTTTAATACATGTAGTGAAATCAATTTAAAATATAAGCAGTTTTCAATAATTTCATTTTTTTCAACATTAATGAGTATAATTTGTTTTTGCTTACTTTGATTAAATAAATATACATATATATACTAGGTGGGTTGATATATACACAGTCTAAGTAAAAAAAACACATTTTTTTCGTATATTAAAATAAAACTCACAAAATAATAATTAAATTTGCTTTATATTATATTCCTCAAAAATAATTATCTTATGTGCCTTTTATTTTTTCGCATAGGTATACTTCTGACACTCTGCTTTTTATTTTAAAACGCACAAATAACTGTTACTTGCGCGTTATAAATATAAAAATCATGAATAACTCGCACTGGCCTGCCGAATATTTTGAAAACGAAAATATGCATTAATATACTTCTTAATAGTGAGATATGTATGTCTGTACCAATAACATGATATGAAATTTTTATATTAAATTTTAATTTAATATAACATTAATTTATTTAACAAATTCATTTAACATTAATACTGTGATGTACTTTATTAAAATAAAATTTATATTTAAATAAATTAATTTTAAATAATATTTAAAAATATAAGTGCACTTTTTATTTTTCAAAATGTATTTCGCGCTCTAATTTTTTAACTTCTAATTCTACTGTTTTATTTTTCGAAGAACAGCTGTTCTCATCAGACCTTACATAAAGCTTTTTCATGAAAATCTGTGTAAAGAGTATGATTTGGCACTTTATTTGTGTTATGATCTCAGTTTGTACTTTACTTGAGTTTTACTACTAGTAGCTCATGGATCAGACATTTTATTTGTGTTTTACTTGAGTTTTACTATTAGTAGCTAATGGAACAGGCATTTTATTTGTGTTTTACTTGAGTTTTACTACTAGTAGCTCATGGATCAGACCTAATATTAAACAAATTTCCGGTTGAATTTTATAAAAAAGTATTTTATATAAATATACATATATAAAATAAATGATACAAAAAAGTTATTGGTGAGCATTTTATATTGTATTTTTTTTTCTATATAATAAAACTACACATTTTTCTTAGGCTTTATTCGTAAAAACGGAAAAAAATAATAAATTAAGGAGAATAGAAAGAGAGTGGCGAATTGACCACATATTTGAAATTTTTATAACTCCAGCTCTATAGAAAGCAATACGAGATGGGAAATAAATTCATTTATATGATTTCCAAACTAGTAAATCACTAGTTAATGCTAAATGAGTAGTTTTTAACATTGTTTTAGTTTCCTTGCAATTTTTTTTTAATTTTTTGCTTCTATATTAATGATTGTGTTTATTCATGTATTCATGTATTACATTCTTAAATGAACACAGAAATTAAAAATTCCTTAATAAATAATTAATTTCTTCACAATCACTACAAAATATTTAAATTTACCCATTCGCAACAGTTGTAAATAAAAAACAGCTGACTGGAGTATTTCTTTTTCTTCCTATAAAAAAACTGTTTCCAACACTGAAATTTTTTTTCTCTTGTCAGTATATCGTTGTCAGCATATGTTAAATACATTGTCAGTAACCAGATTGTGATATTAGAAAGTTTTACACAGATTTACACAGTATTTAATTTTTAAATAAGATTTTAATAAACGGCAGTAAAATGTTTAAAAATGAAGCTAAGAAATACTTTTCTTTATTGGGCAAATTGAGGTTTTACTCTGCAGATGAAGAGTATCAATTAAAGTACAATAATCAAGTCTTCAAGAGATTTTTCAAAACTGACCTCATTGCCACTTCGGCAAATGTGGCTAAAATGTTGAAAATAAAAAACTACGTACAAAAGGCAACTATCGCAGACGACGATAAACCGGTTGTCGTCTATGTCATATATCTAATGAATATGGTTCTTGAATTAAGAAATGTGTCTGGTATGCAATTGATCCCAATAAACAATAATCAGAAACAGAACACATTGGAGACCGTGTTTATTGAGTTATGCAACAAGGGGTTATATAAAAGCGCTCATAAATTACTTGCACAATCGTATTATGAAGGTGAACCCAGCTGTGATTTGTGCTTGCTTTATTTGGGATTTTATTCCGAAATGTTTGATATTGCCTATGATATAACACAACTGGACACCATGGTGGAGCATTTAATGGCATTGATCTTTTCAATCTATATCTTCAATAATGAATCGAAGCTTACTCTGGGAGATGATGAAATATTCTTAATAAAAATAACATTAAATAAGATTTCAATGAGCTGTCGTCTAGAGTTTGTGTATACACTACTTAAGTATAAGATAAATGCAAACTTAGACGAAAAAATTCAACAGAAAATAAACGAACATCTAATGAATTTCGTTATGGGCACTGAAGATTTTGGCGATTTTGTTGAACTGTTTTTCAACTCACTTGAGCGGCTATACAATCCCGAAAGCGGCGATAAAGACAGCAACTATACGTTTCTAACGTTATTCTTAATTGAATGTGCACACAACAATGATTTTGTCAAAAGTGTTATAAAAAAAATTATGAAGTTTTTAAAGAAATGTATAAAAACTGACAAAACCGATGAATTTTATAAATGTATTATAGCTGTATTAATATTTATCCGTGATAAAGATGAACAATATCAACTAGTTTTAACTTCGCAAATACACGCTACCCTACGTAAATTTCATGATCCCGGCTCTTTGATTGTTGGATCCGTATTGATGAGTTCCAAGGAATTTAAGGCGACAATTATATTGCTAGAAGAGTTGGTTTGTAATGTGTTTCCAGAGTGCTCATTAATTAATATTATAGATGGATATATCCCAATGTTTTTGGAGATCTATGAAAAAACCAACGACAACAGTGAAGAGAAAGTACATTTAGCTAAAATGTTGAAATACTATTTAAGTGCAGTAAATAAGATGGAACTAAGCTTGATAATTGCAGTTTTATACACCGGCATTGAAGAGCCAAGGTTTAAAAAATTACATGATCGCGTTGATTTAATAGACAATACCCTACAAGTTGTGTATGAAAGAGAATTAGGCGAGAATACTTTTGGAATGACTATGACTAATCTACTTGAAAATGAAGTATATTATATGTCACCCTTCAGAGTGTTAATGAATTTGTTTATGATTATAGGAGAATGTATGTTTACCAATAACACTACCACTGACAAGATAATATTCTCACATAAATCGTTTCAATTCTCTGTAATCCGCGATTCATTCTCCGCTCTGTCTAAAAACAAATTAAGTATTGCGTTTACGTATTTTCGTGGCGATAACTTTACCAAACTCATGGAACATTACCTACTAAATTCTTTCGGTGTTGTGTTTATTGATTTGAAGCCACTCGAAACAATCATTTTTGGTATGTTAAATATAATTAAACAATCTCCAAGGCCTGAGAACTACTCTGTACTCAAACCATTACTTGTAAAATTGAGAAAAAGTAATGATTTAAATGCTGATATCAAATATGGCATAGGTGAATTAATAAAAATACTTAATCAGAAATCGAAGTCGGATTTCATAGACAGAGAATTGGACTGTGCATATGTACTAATTGAGCAAACTAATGAGGTTATGTACGAAGTAGCTTTAGATTGTTTTAGAAAACTGTTTGAAAACAATGGAAATTATGTTGAAGAAAATTTTGAAAAACTTACACTTATGGCACTTAATATGTTCAAAAACAAAACTGAATCGCAAACACACAAATCCTACTTATATGAACGATTGATCGAACATTTTGAATTGCGCGTTTTTAAATATACATTAAAGGAGCTAGAGGACGAGGCAACTGATTTAACATATCGTATGGCAGTTATTGAGGCCATAAATGTAGCTGCTAATATAATAGGTACGTAAAAACTTTACTTAATAATATCAAGTTTAAATAACTTCAGCAACATTAGTTCCTATAAATCCAATAAAAATTAATATAACTTAAAGGATATATAAGCAGTAACGACTATATTGTCGTTATTATAAATAAACTAAATCTAATTAATATTGATTATGTTTAATACCGATTCTTAAATCTTGTTCTTCCAGATGCTCGATATTCTGATGAAGAAGATGAGAGCAAGTCTATCTTACGGTGCGGCTTGATGCGTGTTGCTCGGTCAAAAATAGAAACAGTTCGTAAAGCTGCCTACTCAGCAATGAAGTGTTTGTGGTATGGACATGAGGAATTCAGTGTTAAAAGCTTGCAAGAGGTAAGACTCTTATTTTCACAAATAATATAATTTAATATATTAACTTCAATTTGTTTTAGTTGTCAATTTTAATAAATATAGAGTTTGCTCGGGACAATTCGTATTTACCTGCACAGCGTGAAGCTCTTGAAGTTTTATATGTGGTGTTGAGAAAACGTAGCATAATATTATTCTCTCGCAAATATCTCCTACCAATATCGCAGACTATTAATAAAATAATCGAAAACGAGGAGTGTGACAATGAGATCTTATCCATCGCGATAAAATGCAGAAAGGCTGTAGAATACCATTTGATCAGAAATTGTATGTTCAAATGCAGTTTCGTATGTAAGCTCGAAAACTTGGAGTCACCGCCTCCCAAGTGGATTCAAGTAATTAAATAAATGACATGAAAGTATCGTACTTAGTTTAAAAAAAACTAAACTTTTTAATTATTAACTTTTTAAACATTGCCTCTTTTATTTAGAATAAAAATATTCTAAATAATTCAAAAAAATATTTACTTTAAAGTTTAAAAAAATGTTAGTATAAAAATGTCAGTCTTAAAATATTTCATGTTTAAATTATTCATTCAAGTATGTTCCCAGGGGAATATTAGGCCATAATGAATTTTTTCCAACTGCCAGGGTTTCTCCAAAGGTGCTTGAATTTTATTCTCTAGTGTTCGCTTCCATGTTAAAATAGACAAACGATTAATCGGCTATGAATGATAGTGGACATGTCATGTATCTATAATTTTTGCAAGACTTACTTTGGTTTAGTGGCTATATTTTGATTTTTGTATATTCAAACTCATCATAATTGCTATCATCATATATATAAAATTCTGCTCAAAAAGTATCCGGATTTTATTGATTGTTAACTACTCCTTAAGTAATAGAACTTTTTCAAAAAAAAATTTTTTTTGTTATGTTGGTACACCCTTTCTTGACATATGGTACAAATTTGAGCGCCATCTGTCAATTAGTTTGTTTACAGCAGCTGTTAATGTAAGACTACCTCAAGTGCATTTAGCGATTTTTACTATGAAAAATTCTTGTTGTACGCGATTTTTTGACCAAACACGGCACCACCGTCCTCGCTCAGGTACCATATTCGCCAGATCTGGATCCGTGCGACTTTTTCCTGTTCCCGAAACTCAAATTGGTCCTTCGTGGTAAGCGTTTTGAGTCGATTGAATCGGTAAAAGAGAATTCGCTGAATGAACTAAAATTTTTTGTGTTTTATTTACAAAATCCGAGTACTTTTTGAGCAGAAGGTATGTCCAGAATCAAATATTTAAAGATTATTCAGATGCATTGATATCTTATATCGAAGTCAAATGAATACAAATCAAATAATCAATTTATGATGCGAAGTAGTATTTTAGTAATGCGACAGAGTACTGTTGAGAGTATTTATTCTTAACATTAGCAAGAAATAATAATTCAATGACTCTGTAAGACTAAGAAAAGACTTTAATATGGAGGCTTAACCAATCTGTAGAAATTAATGAATAATATTATTAAATTTATTGTTAAAACACCAATTTAATGTATTTTACAATCGATTATACTAAACAAATTGAATCCTTTTAGAAGTAATTAAATATGATAATAAATAATTTTTGTAAAATAAAATATATTTACAAATTTATTGGAACTTAATGAAACCACTTAAAAATTACGATGTCAAATTATTATATACATTTTATAGATATCAGTAAATTGATGTAAATTTAAATTTTATTTTTATCTAATTAAAGTCTAATTAAAGAAGACTTGTAATAAATAATATAACAAGTGTGAGTACATGGAAGTATATATATCACACGATTGTTTGTACTATATTTCATATAATCATTATAAGAATATTTTTATAAATAAATCTATTTAATAAAATTTTTACTGCAAATAAAAAGAAAAATATCCATAACTAAACAACCAGAATTAAACAGAAAGTAGTTTACAAAATAAATAAATTAATTTAAGATACACATAAAAATTATAATAAATTATGGTAAATGCATTTTAAAATATATTACGAACAAATTAAATTAGTATATAAAAAAAAAATTGTCATCATTTAATTCAAGAAAGGGCTTTAAAATGTTATTTATTAATTAATTAAATAATTTATTTAAGAAAATGTATTTGTCATTAGTTTAGACATGATTTATTTCTGAGTTATTAATTTTTTAATAAATAATATTTGAATTATTTATAAATATTTTAGTTTGAATTTTTTTATTTGAAAATATGATTTTTTTATAATTTTAAACATTGTAAATAATGCTTAAAATAAAGCATTATTGCTAAAAAAATCTTTTATCAAAGTTAATTAGGTTTTTGAAATTCAAGTTGTGCATAAATTTTTATACAGGGTTATCCTACTCGAAACATATTTCTAACATTGGTTTTTGTATATTGTTTATTATACGGTTTTGGACAATCCTTCGATTTGTTGCACATTGTATGGCAATGTATATAAATATTTCTTTAAGATGTCTATGTCCGTCCAAAAGCAGCTAAAAATTAATACCAACTTACTTCTGTGTTCAAATTTATATTCCAATAAGCAATTTTGATATACAGAACTGTTAAACAAAAAGAATATTTTTAATATAATTTCGAGAAGGCGTTTTAATAACCTTTTTTTCTAGCCATGTCAATAAGCTGATTGAGACCCCATGCTCTACTAGAAGAGAAGGACGACAGTAAGTAAGTAACTAATAAGATGAATCTAAGCAATTTCAAACCTGGAATTTTATGGTGAAATTTCTATAGCAATATTTATTTGAAAGATTACTTTCACTTTATTAAAAAATATTCAAAACTAGTTGTGTGGTGCACCACACGATGGTCCGAAATGGGTTAAAAAGTAATGAACATCATTCCTCCAAAATATAATTAGAATTTATGCTTATAATTTTCACATTCACAACTTTGCTTGTAATTATCGACTGACTTTAACCACAAAATTTTAAAATTACTGGCATTGAAATTGAAAAAAAAATTCAAAGCTTTAGTACTTAGCTGGCCATTACATTACGTGCTTCATCCATGGCCGCATCGAGTAGCCTTCGCCAGCCAGCCGGATTAATTGCTTGCTGTCATCAGTTGGTATTACCGAGCGCCCCTAAATCGTTGGTCACCTGATCCTTCCACTGAAGATGGGGACATCCTTTACCACGTTTTCCACCAACGACGATATGATGAAGCTAGTGAAGGCGCTGCATATTTGCGCTGAACTATATCAATATCGCGGTGTAGCTTATACAGCACATCGTTCTATCTAATCTAATTCGATACTCATCGCTAACACGTAAGGAATCTTTGACTTTCCGAAGGAATTTTTTTCGAATGCTACTAACGCCTTCTCAAAGCTTTTGTAGTTACACTAAATAAATGGAAATTTATAGGATTACTTTTCTCATCTCATTCTCATCATCAGTTGACAATAATATCCAAATAAATATTAGGTCATATATTACAAATGTGTACACATAACACAATACCAAGAGTTAGAATATTTCATTCATATCGAGGGTTGATGCTCCCTGAGTAATATATATTAATGCTTTTGTATATTTATTACCGAAAGTTTTTGATTTTGCAGCAATGAGAGTTCTTTACAAAATTTTAAAATAAAAAAATATTTAAAATAATTTACAACGCACTTCTTTTTTGTCACATGCGTGCAACTCAACATAATGGTGGAGTTGAAAATCTTGTGTTATACCTTTTCACCATATTATATGTAAGAATTAAATAAAGAAAAAAAAACATTTTTAGATTTTTATGATTCTTTTTTATCTGTTTTGATTCTATTTTGCTTTGCTGCACCATTATACAATCTATGTGATTCTAATTACGATCTATACAATCATTGTTACGATTTACACGTTTATAGTTACGATCTACGTGATCATTGCTACGATTTAACCATTTCTTTTACATGTATCATCACCATTTATATATATATTTAGCATCATATATCATTTCTTTTGATATTTGCTATTTCTTAGAAAAAAATGTTATCTAGTCGTGTGTCGTAGGCACAAAAATACATATTATTAGAGATGCTAAAGCAAAATATTTGTATTACTCAGGGTCAATTTTCGGGTTCAGATAGTCATAAAAAGACTGAAAATTTTTGGCGAAACTGTGCTGAAGAACTAAATGCTTCTGAAGGATTTAATAAAACTCTAGAACAATGAAAAAAAGTAAGTTGAACTGAATAAATTTGTACTTGTACTTGTAAAGTTGTACTTTTAGTACAAGTACTATTTGTTATATTAATTTTATTTAATATTACATTCATCTCCAACAAAATAAATAAAAAACAACTAGCAACTAGAGTAGTGTAGGACCGAAAAATCTTGAGGAAATGTATAAAGAGGTGATAGTATTGATTTAAGAGCATGCAGTAGATGAGAATAAAGATACCCCTGAAGCAGACATACCGGCAAATACAAGAAATGTTTTTTGTTTTTTTTCTACATATTAATAACAACACTTTCTATTTTTATCTACAGTGTCAGCAATCAGATTTCTTTAAGATGGTATTTCTTGAGAGTACAGAAATTGTAGATAACAACTATGCTTCCCCAACGCCCACACAGCAAGTCGAACCAATGCCCTCTTTACCACCCGAACCCAAAAAACCACAGAATGATATCTACTTGTAAGACCTCAAAAGAGTTAAGCTCCTCATAACTGAGCAAACTGAAAAGCAGAACCAGACATTTTGAAAAATGCCTACAGTATTAATAAGCATCAACAATAAGTTGGATGTGTTCATTCCCAACTCACACAAATACTCAATATATATATATATTATACTATATTTAGTATTTTAATTATATTAAATAAAACAATCATAATAAAAACAATTTTGATACAAATTTATATATAATTTTTTAGTTAAAATACGATATTAACGTTCCATTTTCATCAGTTTCTCTTTCATCAGTTGCACTAGAACGATTTCTTTCGAGAATGTTCTTACTTGCTTTTTATCACTTCTTTCGATTTTGCCGTTTCGTTCTTGCATGGTGAGTTTCTTATCACTACAGAAAGCGGCTCAAATCAAAGAATGATATAAAAGCAAGTGAGAAAATTCTCGAAAGAATCGTTCTAGTTCAACCAGCAACTGAAAAAGCAAGCCATAGGCTTGTTCTCCGTTGTTTTGGTGAGCGTTAACTTAAGTTATTTCAGATCGGTGTTTAGATCTTAAATAAATGTTCTGTGTTATTTGCAAGGAAATAAAATTTTTATTTTTATAGTATTATTTTTGCTTATCCATATGCTATAAAGGTGATTCAATATTCATAAAATATAATTAACAAACAAAAAAGACAAAAATAATAATAAAAAAAATAAACAGATCTAAAGTTTGTGTAAGAAAAAAACAGTAAATAAACAATAGATCAAAGGAAAAATAACAAAAAACTAAATATAAGTGTAGATTT